CGCCGCTATATGCCATGGAATACGCGGCCGATATGGTAAAGCGAGCTCTTAAACAGTGAGCAGACCAGAATGGCTTAACTATTCCACTGGGAAACTACAAACATTAGAATCCTTTGGATGAAGTGATATTTGTCACAAAATCCGTCAATCAGAAGCGTTTCTAACGGCCTTGCTTGATTCCAAGGTTCAGTAGTGCTCGTATAATTCTTATACCCAGGTTAAAGGCAGCGACCCCGTTCATTTGATGTTCCCACGCCCTCCTTAATATCGTAGCTTTGTCGACAAGGTGGAGGATGTACTAATTTCGCAGCTCAAAAATACGAGAGGATGGCGCCACCCGCTTGTGAAGAGGATGCCGCCCCGCCCACCTGGCTGCCATAACTGCTTTGGCTTAGCCTTTAAAGGCTGAGCCCGCTTTCAAGAATAATGAGTTATGGAGCTCATATAATACGTGATCCAGTAGTGAAAAAAAACAGAAAAAATCATGGAAAATGCCCTATATAGAACCCTATGCTGGCCAGGTGGGCGGGGCGGCCGACTCTTCACTAGCGAACGGCGCTATCCTCTCGCCTTTTGAGATGCAAAACTAGTACATACTGCATCCTCAAGGGGATAGCTATGATATCCAGAGAGGGTGCGGGAACATCATATGAACGTGGGCACTGCATTTAAGCTCCTCAGGTGCTTCTTGACATTTTCATTACAGATGGGAAAATCGCATGTTCGATTATGTAGAACATTTCCAACATCCTGTGCTCAACATCACTTGCAACAGCGACGCCTTGATCGCAAGAGAGGTAAGTATCTTTTTCGATTTTATTACTCTCCTCCCTAAGAAGTCTGCCTAGTCCTCATTCATTGCGGACCGGTGGGGCGTGGCAGTGCGGCTGCATTTGGTGCGGTTTTGCAAAGTCGTTCTGCACCAGTTTTTGAAGCGAACAAGTGCATTGCTGTATAATATCCTTCGTTACTACTGCTCGTTTTCTACCACTTTTTGTCGCATACGCGTTGCAACAAAAAAGGCTGAGAATGGCTTCAACAATGTGCGCGCTCCTTCTGGCTGACACGCCCCACCGGCCTTCCAGACCATGATGAGAGCTGGAGGTGGTTTGGAAGCTAGCATCTGTCGGTTAACATACCGGTAGTGCGAGTGAAGACATTTCAGGTGCGTAAAAATGGAATATATTGCATTCCATACTTCGTGCTCTCGGTGATACTGGTGTATTGTTTCATAATGATCACGAATGCATCCTGCGACATTCCACATTCTGTCACTTCAATTTATCGGCTTTTCTTGGAATTGACGGATCCATTTGGTGGCTGTGGAACGACGTACAGTTTTCTTAGAAAGACAACAACCCCTGAGCAAGTACTTCCGATTGAGCACTTGAAGTGCGGCGCAGCGCGAGAATTCATCACACGTTCCACATAAAAAGTTGGCAGGTTCATCCAGAAGTAGTCGGAGCCGCGGTCTTGTCAGAAGCGGCGAGGATGAGACGTCTGCGGCCTCCGCGTTACTCTACCGTTGTGATCGAATTGTGGCCGATTCAGGTAGAAAACAGCCAGGGGTGAAAGGTATTTTACTCCTACTCATAATCGTAGTGGCTTAGCGGCCTCCTGAGCGCGATATGGCCTATGCGAGGACTTGGCCGACCTGCAAGGGCCAGCCGATGTCCAGCTCAGTGTACTTATCCTCTCAAACGAATCTGATACGAATTTACTATCCTCGGAAAGCAGAGGGCTCCGGTGGCCTGGGCAGGAGCCGATCTATAACTTGATACCCAGACCGCGCGCGTGGTGAGCGGGCCACTTGCCACTGCACCATCCCCGCTCAGATTAATATTAATAACATCTGTTCAGATTTTGTTCGTTGTTTCTTCTTGGATTCCCATTCAACTCGATCACTCTCGTGATGCCATTCCTAATTATCGGTGTTGGGTCGGATGACGTTTTCATAATTATTCATGCTATGCGCAAAACGAATAAGAAAATGCCACTCGAAGATCAAATCGGTGAGCAGTTACTGAAGTATCACTCTTAAGTAGCACGTCTTCACCGTTATCATCGCTCTTGGATACTGCTGAGGGGAACGGTTTCTTGTCAGCTAGGCTGCGTTCACACTTTGCGGCAGCGTCCACAAGCGTCTACCAGCGTCCACTACGTTTCGAGAGTTCGGCAGTCAGCGAATGGGAACATAGATATCGATCTAGCGTCTGCCACCGTATACCAGCGTCCGGAGAGGAGAGTATGGCGGCAGGAGGGTAGCAGACAGATGGTAGAGTATTGAGAGATAGGGGTAGCATACTCTCCTCTCCCGCACGTTTTTAGACGCTGGTGCACGCTGTCAGACGCCAATGCACGCTGGTAGACGCTGGCAGACGCCACATCGACATCTGTATATTTCCCAAGCCCTCGAGACGCTGACGAACGCTGGTAGACGCTAGATTGATATCTACACATTCCCATTCGCTGACGCTGGCGGACGTTATAAACGCTAGTGGTGGTGGTACACCCTAGTGACGCTGCAGCAAAGTATGAACGCAGCCTTACTGTCCACATGCCACATGATTCTGAGGCAAAACTCGACTTTTTCAGCCGAAACAATGGAAGAAGCTGGACCATCCATAACAGTGACATCACTCACTAATATACTCTCGTTTGCAATCGGTATTTTGACTCCTACACCTGCAATTTCCATTTTTTGCCTATACACAAGCGTTGGACTCGCGGTCGACTTTGTCTATCAGGTGGGATCGAACCATTTTCAATTTGACTCTATCACGTTTTGCAATTGGCCGCATAGATTTCGTTTGTGATACCAAACAAGAACTGTTAGATGTCAGAATGAACTTATAGCTTACATTTATAGCTATTTTTCTTAATGGATTGTTCTAAAAGCAGTTCCTCTTCAGCTCACCTTCTTTGTGGCAGCGCTTGTATATGAGGAGATGCGGATTGCTGAACCAGAGAAACCTCCTATTGCAGATGTTGCCAATTCGAAGAACCTGGTGAGCTAATCTCCTAATCTATACTATAGGGAAGGTAAGTGACTAGAGGATACAGTATTCGAGTCATTATGGCAGTGTGGGCACGATTTGCTGGAAGGGAGCGTATCGGCCAAGCTGCCCAACGTTTTCTGAGAATGTGGCCGAGGCCATTTCCACCAATGACCCTGGAAGCAACCGCCCGCCTCCAGCAATGTTGTTTATTGCCTTTATTGTAGTTGTACGGCATCAGAGAGTCAGGTTGCCTCATAAAAATGCAGCAAAAGTTGTATAATACTATTATAGGACGGTCAGGACGATCGTAATTGCTATGTCTTGTTCCAAGAAAACTTACCACCACTTTGTTTAAGGTGACAACGAAATTATCGGTGCGATCCACGTATCCAGCTGACCCGAATGGTATAGTAGCTAAATATTGTAGAATACTCAAAATGAGATTGGTAAGTGAATAAACTTCACATTGTACCTTCATTCTATCATTATTAGGCACTTCTTGGCGCCACTCGGCCTGGGGGGGGGGCGTCTCTAGTTCGCTAATTTCTTGGCTTGCTCTTTTACCTTACACATCTCACCCTGGTGAGACCCGTAGGCTCTTCTTAACACTCTCAACTCTTGCAGGGGGGGGGCAAACATTGTAACTTCTCGTACGTTCACGTGGGCGCGTCCGCGCGCAGTGGGCACAGCAGTTCGAGCGAGGCTTTCAGCTGCAAGAAAGCTAAAATCTCTAACTTACGATGCTGGAACTCGACCGAGAACATCGTATAACAACTGAGTAGTGACCGAAAAAGTAGAGGAAGTTGGAGCTATTGCGCAGCTCTGCAAGAATTCAAAGTTCTCCACATCAGGCATCGGCGATTGTTGATATCAACCAGCAGAGTGCCCTAGCCAGAACGGACTGCGCCTATTTCATCCCAGGGCTGCAAGCACTCCCGCTATGTTTTCCTCCGGCTGAGGTAACCAGGAGTAGACTTACTGTACATCCGGACTTGTTCGTATCATCAGTGTTTGTGATTTCTCTGGTTTGAAGGCAGAGCCCTCGATCACTTATAATTATCTTAGCTGTTCATAGGGGATGTAGTGTGGACTGCAACTGATGGTCCTGCATAAGTTTCACGTCAGGAAATGATAAGGTGACGGCGGCAAAGCACAAGATTACTCAAGTGACTCCCCAAACTCAGTGACTCCGCCCACGTTGGTAGATGTCTTAACAGCTGTCTCGCTTGCTTGCATACCCTCTCACTGCTTTCTGTGGCCTCTCGTCCAATATCCACATCGATTCTTTACCTCTCGTTTGGCCCAAGTGGAGCCTTACTTCGGGCATTTGCCACGGATTCCTCTCCTTTTTTCTTCACGGGCAAGTAACGTAGGACGTACACATTCAGTTCCCAACTCCACCCCCTACTGAACTGTTCGCTGGTTCATCGCAAAGCCTACATACCTTCGTGAAACTGATACAAATTTGTTCGGAAGAGAAAAAAAAACATATGCCAGACTCTTTCATGGTGCAACCGCTTTACTGTCCGACGTTTCGAGGCAATCGTGTTCTCGAAGATTCCATCATCAAGAACTCCGAGCACTTCGGGACGAAAAATTTTGAGTTTTCGAATCGAACAACCACTTCGTTTGGAGCGATTTCACCATAAGTGACCTATACGGCAGAGATGCGAAGAGGAGCATTCTGCTCAAGAATGCGTTGGAGGGAAAAACCCACCCATGCTCGTATGCGGCGCGGTTTTTTGACGTCACCGCGGCGGCAGGGCGGAGCGAAGGGCGATGGCCTGCGCCTCCGCCACTGTGCTCCAATCAGCAGCCGCTTTTATGTGGAAGGAAAAAGAGAGAAAAGAGGATTGAACAAATAGTGGATGCTTATAGGTGAGTTAGTGGTAGTGGTGAGCAGAGAATATAGAAAAGTCGACTCAATGAAACTGACGAAATGGTCCCCTTCGACTTCAAAAACGGCTGCTGATTGGAGCACAGTGGACGGAAGCGCAGGCCATCGTCCTTCGCTCCGCCCTGCCGCCGCGGTGACGTCAAAAACCGCGCCGCATCCGAGCATGGGTGGGTTTTTAGGTCCTCCGCCTTGGCTGCGCTCTGATCCACACACTCTCGTTTGCATGAATCATGACTGAACCTCTTAGCACTTTTAGTCATGTAGTCGGCTACAGCCGTGTTTCACGAACGAATTCTAGAATGGTTGTAGAAGATTCAGGTTTTTTCACTTTTATTTCAATCTCATACTTTCAGACTCGCCTATTGCTTCTGATCGTCCTCATGTTCTATTGGATCGCGTCAATTTATGGCTGTATGAAAATGGAAATTCGCATGGATACCACAAATCTCATACTGAGGGAGAGTCCATTGCATAACGTCGCCTACATTTATGAAAATTTTCTCTGGAAGGAAGGACAACTTGTGAGATTTCCGTAATTGTTTAACAGACCTTTTGACAACGTTACTACTCCGCGGTTCCGAATAAGGGCTGTCATTGTTTTGTTCTTAAGATCTGGCAAGCACAGAAAAAGAAAGCAGTGAAGAAAACGAAGAATAAAAAGCTAGGCAGTCGACCAGAGCATTTGAGCAAGGAAAGAACGGAATACTATTTCCTTACGGTCTTATTCCCTGCGGATGCTGGGGCGTGTCACAGCTTTTCGGGGGGGGGGACGACTGAATCTCTCCGCCTGCCATCTGAGCACCGGGGTTCACCTGCGGTGGGAAGAGTCGCGCTCGACGCAAATACGTACAGGGGACCTACGGAGCGCTTGCCTCCGCTCGCCCACGGTGTTAACACGCAGGTGCTTACTGTTGCTGCTTTTCAGAACCCTCAATAGCTAGAAGCAAAATTTGGGTAAGGAAAAACGTTTAAAAAATGAGGAGTGAAATGCCTACATCAGAAAGACTCTCTTTCGCGTGTTGATGCACTGTCAGCAATGCAGGCCTTTGGACTGGCAATAACACCGAGAGGGAGTCGTAGCAAAAACGGCACCGCGTTGACTGCGTCAATGCTGCGCTCATACTTTGCGGCAGCGACCACAAGCGTCCCCCAGCGCATTAGCAGCGACCACAAGCGTCCACCAGCGACCAGCGGCATTTCGAGCGTCCGTCAGCGAATAGGAAAGTATAGATATTGACCTGGCGACCAGCAGCGTTCACCAGCTTCCACCAGCGACAAAACGCGTCACCATCGTCCCTCAGCAATCAGCAGCGGAAGCAGGAGGACAGCAGAGAGCTACGCTCCTAGCTCCCCATACTCTCTCAGCAGATTACTACTCTCCTATCTCCCCATGCTCTATCAGCTCTGTTACCCTCCTGCCTCCCTATACTCTCCACTCCTGGACGCTGCTGGTCGCTGTTGGACGTGGGTGGACGCTGCTGGTCGCTAAATCGATATCTACCTTTTCCTGCTCACTGACGCTGACGGACGCTCGAAACGCCGCTTTTCGCTGGCGGGAACTATGAACGCAGCCTCAAGAGATCCTCGAAGATTGAGCAACACGAACATCAGTTATGAACAGTGGTCAATGTCATGGAAACTGAAAAAAGAAGGGAAAACATGACCGCGTGAGAAAGCATCTCTACACCCTTCACTCGACTTCAGTTCAGGTTTTGGTTTTCGTGAACAATCCTCCTGATCTCTCAGTGGAAGACAATCAACGGCGTATGCTTGGTCTGGTTAGTGAATTCGAAGGCTTGCGATATTCAATGGGGAAGAATTCGACGTCTTTCTGGCTACGCTCATTTTTGTATCAGTCGTCTCTCTATCATTCCAAAGACGGATTCTATGCACTGTTGGACACATGGCTTCAGGTGCGACAGTTTTATATGAGAATACCTCCTCCTTTCCGATAATCATCTCAAGACGTTAGGTTAAATATTCAATGTTGTATGTGCAAAAATCTAGAACTAGTTATGTGTGAACTAGGGGTGAATTAGCATCATTGTTGTGAACTAGTAGTAGTTTTGATAACCGGTAAAATCAAGTGTTTTTTGTTCAATAAGTGGTTTTGCTTACCAGCAAACTAGCTTATTTATGGGTGCTGATTTGTGGGCAAAGGGCTTAACCAAAGACTGGGTTCAAATTTAGAACTCATGGAGCAGATGTGTTAGGTGTTACTCAGCAATCCTCGAAACTGCGTACTGTACGTTGAATTATGGTTGGAATGCCTGACTTACAGGACACAGAAAACGGTGGATCGAGATGGAATGACATGGTGCGGCTACAGCGTAACATCACTGGAGCAGTCGTTGGAGTGAATAAGTGATTCTTTCACAGTCTTCTTCTTTAGTTCAAGAAAACTCAGAGCTTTGATAGAACTGAAACTCCATGTTTCTGACTGCGCCACTCCTCTGGAAAAAACGTAAGGGTACGTTCATACTTCGCGGCAGCGTGCCACCAGCGTCCGCCAGCGACCATCAGCGTTTCGAGGAAATTGCAAAGAGTGAATATCAATCTAGCGTCTAGCAGCGTCTATAAGCGACCACCAACAACCACCAGCTTCATGAGTACATATTGGGTATAGTACAGTGCAGCTGCACATGCCGATTTCAAGACATTATCCACCTGTCTCCTACCTCTAACTTTCCCATCCTCTCTCTCTCTCTCTCTCTCCTTCTGGTCGCTGGTGGACGCTGGTAGACGCTAGATCGCTATCCACATTTTCCCAGTCTCTGGAAATGCTGATGGCCGCTGGTGGATGCTGGTGGACGCTAGTGGACGCTGGTAGACGCAGATGCCGTTCGCTGGATCAATATTAAAGTATGCACGCAGCCTTAAATATCCGATGTTTTTCAGCAGCCATGAAACACGTACAGATCATCTTTTTGCAACAATATATTGATAGTTGCTTTACAAGCCTGTATGATGCTCAATCGCCCGCTCACCCTTAACCAAATTTGTCTCGGTTCACTGTTCAAGGGTGATACACGAATTATTGGATTTCGCCTTGATCAGCTTAGCGCACGCTCCTCCCTCTATGGGCCGACCACACTTACACGTTCTCTTCCGCTTCCTTGAGTCCTGGAATTGAGCTTAACATGTACCGTTTTAGTACTGCCCACAGCTTTGATGAATAATCTCGTCTGCGAATTCCATTGCTTGCTGAACTTTATTCAATTTTCACCGTTCTTTGGGTTGTCCAAGTGCGAACAAATTTTGAATTTTTTCTTTCTTCACTTCCCTGGCACTTCGGGACTGGGCCTGGTTCACGTCTTTATTGTACACTCAGACAATGCTATGAGCTTCCCAACTGCTGGTTCAGAGCTGAAAACGCTCATTCCACGCATCTTAAAGGCAGAACCCGCGATTATTTCGCCATCTCAGATGGTGGATTAGGGGCCTCCATATAGACGTCAAGGGGTTGAGTAACTCGACTGTAAACAGAAAAAGCACAAGAAAAACATGCCACCTGCCCTAGATAGAACCCCATTTCGATCCCAGTTTGTACGTGTCCAATCAACTCTATCGTCTCGTACGCCCTATATGCACAGCTGATTCACGCGAATAACATCTCTACGCATCGCTACAAGCGGCGGTCACGTGCGTTTCGTCCTGCCCATCATTTTTCAGTGGAAGTCGGTCATTAGGACTGAAGTCGGTCATTAGGGGCGGAGTCTGGAGGCGGAGTCACTGGAAAAAGGAGGAGCCACTGAACCTATATTGCGCTACAGCGCCCCTCCCATAGAATTTTTTGCCGCGAAACCGGTACAAGGTTGTTCGTCGCGGACCACTCTAACCTCCATATTTTCAACTTCGATACCTGATCGCGGACCGTGCCTTTGAGGCTGCGTTCATGCTCAACGGCAACGTCCACCAGCGACAAACACGAGCGTTCGTCAGCGCCGGCTACTAGGAAAGTGGTATCGATCTAGCGAACAGCAGCGTCCACAAGCGTCCACCAGCGTCCGCCAACGACCACTAGCGTCTTGAGAGACTAGGAAAGCATGGACATCGACCTGATGCCTACCAGCAGCCACAAGTATTGAGTAGAAGTAGAGCTGCTGGTAGAGTATGGAAAATAGGAGGTAGCAGCCAGCTGCAGAGTCGCGAAATTGGGGCGTGTGCAACCGCACCGTATTGCTACATAGTGCGGTATTCCTGGTCGCTGGTAGACGCTGGTAGACGCGAGATGAATATTCATTTTTCCTAGTCCTTCGAGCGCAGATTGTCGCTGGCGCACGCTGGTAGACGCTGCCGTCCGCGGATCGATAATTCTACTCCCCTTTGTCGCTGACGCTGACGAACGCTCGAAACGCTGGTGGACACTGCCGCGCAGGTTGAACGCAGCCTTACACCGCTGCGACCAATTACGACGATATTAACTGTTGGTATTAGATTGTCCGGAAAGTCCTCGCCGACCTCGCCTTTGAGTAGGATACCAAAATTCGGTAAGAACTTCCGTGCAACCCAATACAATGGATGCTTCTAACCTATCACTGCTTTACAGCTTTACATAGTGCAGAAACAAACACAATACAATGCAGTGCAATTCACTACAGAAACTTTCTGTGTTCGTGATTTTATCTTAACAGAGAGAACACCCTTGAGCAGAACTTGGTAATGGATGAATAACATTAAGGTTCATGTTTGCGACGGCTGCGGCCATGGGTGAGGAAGCTAGTTGGAATACCAGAGCTCGTTTGCAGCACGCTTGGAGAGCCGTTGCGAAGCGTAACGAACAGTTCAACGTCACCATTTTCCAGGTTTCTAGATCGCAACTTTTATGTTATAATATATACTCCGCTCCTTTAAGATGTATTCATTCTACGTTGACCAGCTGGACTCTATTGGTAGTAACACTATCTCGACTGTGATTGTCGCTGCAATCACAATGGACCTAGCATGCTTCTTGATGATCCCACATGCTAGCTCAATTATATCAAGGTAGGCCCTCAAATTCGTAGTTCGCCGAGTCCTTTCACCACCAAATTCTTATGAAATGAAAGCAGTTCGACATAGGCACTAATATTGCCATGGACGAGTTGTTCGCCTTCAACTGGTCACCCGTGTGATGCTATCAATGGGAGCTTCGACCGATTCATTATTCTTTCTCTTGGTTCAAAGATAGTATCATTCAATGACAGTTTTTTTTTGCCGGAACCACGGCACCCCGGGAGCCACAACGCTCAGCTTCTCTCTCAGTCGCCGTCTAAGTGAGACGGATACAGATGGGTGATGTTCTCTGTACCCATGCGCGCACTCATTTGGCCCTGAGGTCACCGACAGCGCCGCTCTTTGGCTTACCTTACAGCTTACCTAGACAAGTAACTTGCATGCAGTGACGAATTAAACGAAATAAAACAGCCACTGGTGTCGAGCTACCTTCCCGCAATTCCATTTGCTCCTTTGCTCAACATCTGCACCTCATCAGCCACATTCACTGAGAATGAAGGTTCCTACGGATACTGTCGGCGGTCTCAGCTAATCTTCTGCCAAATCAAGGGGCTGAGCTATCTTCATCTTCCACGATAGCGGCACCTTTGAGAGCTATTAGGTCGGCAAAAAAGTATTTTCCGATTTTTTCAAAAGCTGCTATTTTATATAGGAAAGATGCACGCGTATTCGGACATACCTGAGAATATTCTAGTACATTCACGGAGTTTCACCCTATGGGGTACATAAAGTTACTGCGTAGTGTTTAGCTTTCATTACAGCATTAACCACAGCCTGGGGAATTACTAGCACCAATATTGAAGCAATTATTTTTCTTCCGATCTCGCCACAAGATTAATACAGCCGGTGTGGCCCAAAGGTCAACGACGAATTCCGGAAGGAACGACTACCGATCATACTGTACGCAATTGGTATAATCGCTTCGAGGATGGAGAGACGGACGGGATGATCGACCTTGTAGTGGATGTCCTTCAGTGCTTGAAGATAGAGCATCGCTCGCCGCCACCTCGCTCGCTAGCATAAAGAAGAGCCATACACCACCTCACGAGATTTAGCAAGCAGGTTCGGGTGCACGCATGCGACGGTTGAAAACCGCCTTCACGCTTCCGGATGCCGAAAAGTTTTGACGAGATGGATACCTCATCAGCTGAGCGACGGCATGAGGATAGCCTGACTATCGTTCAATCCCTTCTGTTCCAGCCGCATCGCGAGGTGTTCCTTGAAGACCTGATTACTGGACATGAGAGCTGGATCCTCTACGATGCCAACACTCATCGTGCTGTTTGGCTCTCGCGCAGTGAAGAACGCCACGGCAGCCGAAGTGCGACCTCCACCCTAAAAAAATGGAGTGCTTCACTATGAGTTGCTACCGTTACCGTGTATGCTGACCAGCTCCAGAAACTGGCACTTGCTGTGAAAGAAAAGCGCCCAGAAATAGCTGCCGTCCACCTTCTGATAAATTGATGGAGCTCAGATGGCATCCCGTTGCACATCCATCCTACTCTGCAGGCCTTCCGCCGTCAGACTATCATTTGTTCAGACCGTTAAAAGCTTTCTTATCCAAGAAAACTTTTGTTGAATGTGATGGTGTAATGTTGTACAACTCCAGATTCCAGCATTCTGGGAGAAAGGGATCGGCGATGCGCCTTTCAAGCGGAATAATGCTATTGCTAATGACGGCGGTTATATTGTTGACAGATTGTTGTTTTATATAAAAGAAAAGTAAAGTTGAGAAAATTCCAAACTGGAAAATTCTTTTTTGCCAACCTAATACTTTCCGTAAATAAAATGTCAGCTTCGTCTTCGGTTGTAAATCCAGCCAGCGTTTTCCCAGACAGTGAACACACTGACGATTCGGCCTGGCATCACGCGGCAACCTGACTCGCGATCCGGGATACTCCGACTTTTTTTCTGCTTTCCTAGACGAAAAAGGTTCCGGGTCGTTGGGCTACTGAATAGCATCGCATGAGAACCAGTGTTGATTATTGTAATTAAATGACTTAGAACAGAGCCACTATCACTACTAAAGATCTGGATCGCTATTGTCACAGGATTTGGAAAAAGAGTAAAAATCATCTGCCTCATCTATTGAAGCCTCGCTGATTAGCGGAAGGCAAATGATCCTTGCGTGAACGAGAATCGTTGGAAAAGGGTAATCTGCAACATGACGCCAGGAAACTAGCGAACGAGGCCAAGAATTTACCGCTGAGAGGTAGTCTGCACATCTTAACCAATGGAAAGCCTCTATATATACCGTGACTATACGCCTTCGTGAAATTTAGTTTGAAAACCAACTGGCTCGAAGAATGCAAAGCTCGGCACATGACCTTATTGCCTATCTGGTCATACAGAGTCATAGTTCCTGAGGTTGAATTCTCTCGGACCACAGCCGCGGTCTGCTTGACACAAGTCTCGAAAGCTGCTTCACTCACTTCGGTCTTCCAACAGGATAGACAGCGGAACACTAGAATGCTGGCGGAGCAAAAACGACTGAGCTCGATGAAACTCTCGGCAGCGGCGGCGATTTGACCCTCGCTGACTCACGTCTATGGATTCTATAGACTTTAACCATAAAACCGGCAAAGCTTGAGAATTTCGCATGCTGACTTAGTTGAACTCCTGTTCGTAATTGGTCATCCCGAATCTCACAACTGATTTTTTCACTAATTAAAGCATCCAGAATTTAGTTGTTTGTGGAGACTTTGATTATAACATTCCGAGAATGCACACACACTTCTCATTATACATTTGATTGAACTTGTTTCCTTTCTTCTTTTCTGCCTCCTGCCCTTTTCAGCGAGCTGAAGAAGTGGTTGTTTTTATTTCCAGCACGATCGCCATGATATCTATAAATGTCGGCGTGTTCGGTTTACTTTCTCTATGGAATGTTAAT